GTGCCATTGTACGAGTCGACATATCCCCGAACATTCGGCCGGCATCGTACGCGGGTGTAAGAGGACTGACATATACCGGGTCGTCCCGTGGACTTTCCGGCTCGACCATGGTATATCTTTCATGGACCTCCGCATCCTCCATCTCGTGCCTGGGCTCGGATTCTCCCATCTCGCAGAGTGGGGTCCCTACGAGCTCGGCCATTTTCTTCTCTTGAGACTGCAACTCCGGTTGGCCATCCGATGCCTTGACGCCCTTCTTTTTCGGCGCTGTTTTGCGACGTCGCCGTTTCTGTCGCTTGAGGTAGAAATGTACCGCTATCGAGATGACCACGAAGAGGATGAGGACGAGCGAGATGATGAGCATTATCTCGCCAGCTTGGACGACCGATGGTGAAGACAGTGGGCTGCTAGATGCCGTCTGTGTAGCATCCGCATGATCCGGCTTTGTCGGCTGCTGTGGAGCCGCGTTCTGGTCCACAGGCGCCATCGTCGAGGTGGTAGATAGGCTATCGCGATCGAGCGCCGATTATCGATACGTGGAATACATTCGTCGTTCACGATGTCGTCGCAATTGTGGAGTATGGGGGATGGGCGTTCGTCTGACACCAATGCTAAGTTTCTCTAACAGCCTCCAACGCCAGCGATCAGGTTCCGAGGAGCAAGAGAGAGCCACACCTGAACGCCCCCAAGAGCGACTGCAAGCCCTCAAATACGACCGCCATTGCCAGCGGGCGTGCCCAGGGAATGCGAGCTGAGCATGCAACCACTACGTCCGAAGAGGAAGTCGGTTGGGGTCAGGAACAGGGTGTTAAACCCGTCAGGATGGGTTGGGCAGGGGCATTCTGGCTAGGCGAGCGAATCTGGAGGATGGACGGCGACCACCTGAAGATCAGGCAATCGTCCGTGCGGGTTGGGGCGGACGACCTCGAATCCTGCGAGGGGGATGACCGCGCAGCGGGACCAGAGTCTCAAAACACATGTCGCTATCGAGGAATGCGAATGCTGGATCTAAAGCCAACATCAAAATGAGCATCGCGGAATGCTCGAATTTCTCCAGTCACCAAATCGCTTATCGCATTGTAGGTTTATCCCCGAAGTACCGGACTTCGAACTATACTGCACGGAGACCAGGGACCTGGAGGCTAGCACGCAATCCCCACAGCCAACGAGCCAGCCCCACAAGGGCCTGGAGCAACTTCGAAAGATCGAACATACCACGCGAAATGGGATCGCAGTTGTAATCGACTTCTGTATTTGATTGACCTTCCTGCCACAGACGCATCTCCGGCCCAGCCTCAGTGTAAGTGCCGTACCAATGCTACGGTGCTGGAACGGGAAGGAGGGTTGAGGCTCGGTCTTGGGCCAAGAGACAGGGTGTGCATGCAGACGATCGACTGATTGGCGGTTCATATCTATCCTGCACGCTCTTTGATTTGAGGGTCTGGGCTGCTTAGGCGGATAAATGCTTCGGTCGGGGTTCCCAGCGCAACCAAAATGAAAGACGAACAGCATCTTGAATCTGACGATAATGCAGCGCCGATGTCTATTGTACTAGGACGAGATCTGCAGACATATCATGAGCTGAGTACTATGTTCGCAGCAGAATCGTTTGCTAACTGCTGTCCTTCGCTTCAGCTGAATCGACATCGAGTAAGTTACAACTCGAATGGTCATGTTTCTGACTTAGGCCAAATACGAACGCTCATGCATTGCGATCACTGGACTTTCGCAGTGCCTCCTCGGAGAGGAAGGTCGCCTTTCCCACTGCACTTGGTCAGGTGTTTCCGTAGCTTCAAGGGTAAGCGAATGTCAGGGTCGGTCCGCCAGCCTCTTCAGCATTGACGCCTTCCACAAAACTGTCAAGATCGCCATAACAGCCCGATGTTATTCAAACAAATGTTTGATATAAGGGCTCGTGCGACCCTATGCGAGGGACACGAACGAGAAAGGCAAACCTTTTCCAGGGTCCGTGACACTTTTCGCGGCTCGAACGAGTCGTTTGGCTGCCTTCAAGCTTTCACTACGTACCAAGCCCTCGCTTTCGTTTTCCTGCGCTGAGCTAGCGTGCAGAGCGCCATCACCCGGCCGCCCGTTCCTCGTGGAAGCCTCCCGCACGCCGAACACCTATCTCGTATCTAAACTGTCTAGATTGATGAATGCCATGTATCAAACCTCTCGCCCATTTAATTACGGCACAACATTGCACCGTGAAAGGAGGGGGCCTCGTGGTGGGGCACGATCCGATGGTCTGTCCACCCTCCCGCGCTCAAGGTCCCACGTCTTCAAAATAGAAACAGCTAGCCGTATAGAGATGGGTGATTAGTCCATCGACCGGTCAGTCGGGTGGAGTAATCCTTTATCCTTTCCCGTCGCCCTCTTGCGCGGAACGTACCTGTTCCTACTTGCTGTGAAGGATGCTATTACGTTTCTTATCTGGATGCCAGTGTACATGTTTAAATCTCCGAGAACCCAATGAAGGTAGCATAACCGAGTACTTGGAAACAAAGAGCGCGACAGATGGATACGATAGTGGACAACACCAATGCAAAAGTGGCAATAGGTATAGAGCAAAACGGGACGCAGGAAGAAGTTCCCCGATAGGCTACTCTAAGAACGTGATCCTTCGCTCGCAGTGCGCAGGGAAATAGTGTTAATCACAGAGAAATTTATATCGTAACTAAATGGATTGTTTGGAACATAGTCGCGCTGTACATGTAATGTCTGGTTATCACGCTATACACACTATGATCATCGTTTGACGACGTCATCAGGCACCAGCCAGCAAGGCCATACCTCGCCTGCGACAAGACTTTGTGTCATAACTTCGTATAATTTCCACTAGCTGCTAAGCAACTCAGCTCAAAAAGTATTCACAAACTCTCATCCAGGCCATATCGCCGCACACAGTCTCGCGCTTGTATCACCTTCCCCATCAGAGTGGATGTAACATGGCTGATGCGTACAAGTATCAGCCACTTGGGCCAGACCAGATCCGACTCTTACAGCTTCATGATCAGCCTGATGAACTCCGACTTATTCAGCGCATATTCCACGTGACACGTGCCGAGTGTCCACCTTACACAGCGATTTCCTATGTGTGGGGTGCCAACCAGCAAGTTGGGCGGCAAGATCTTGTTTGCGAAGACCCGCACGCAAAAGTCAACGTGACAAGAAACTTAGAGCTTGCTCTGCGAAGCGTGGCCCGCAGTAAAGCTAAGGCAGCATCCACTGCGGGACAGGAGAACGGCGGTCAACGCTCCTACGTGTGGGCGGACGCCATATGCATCAACCAGTGCGAAAACGAAGAAAAGAGCCGACAGGTTAGCATGATGCAAGAAATCTATCAGCATGCGGAAGACGTCCACATCTGGCTTGGCGATGGAGAAGCGAACACGGGCATGGCTTTCAACCTAATTCGCGAGCTAGTGCAGCCGCATCAACGCGTCGAGTCAGTTCAGTGGACATTAGATAGTCCGTGCCACAAGGGCGATACCCAGACTCTAGGTATGCAAAATGAAGATGATCTTAACGGAGCGTGCGATGCCTTCCTGGCCATATTAGAGAGGCCATGGTTTACTCGTATCTGGATCGTTCAAGAAGTCGCGGCAGGCAAAAGTGCGAAAGTGTTTTGCGGCAACTACTCCGTGGACTGGAATGACCTCGTGAAAGCAGTCAAGTTCAGTCTGGATATGGGCTTACGAGCTGCGAATATCTACGGCCGAGAGCAAATCCTCCGGATCGCCCAGACTCGGGACGAATACCTTGTCAGCTCTACTGGTGATGGATCAGCGGGGGAGTTCGAGCGTCTTCAACGATTGCTCTTCCGCCACCACGGATCATCCTCGACAGTTCCTCACGACATGGTGTATGCTCTCCGAGGATTGTCTGGCATGCCGACCATTTACGAGGAACATCAGCGCTTTGTCCAGAGTCTGATGTCTTCAAATTATATTCCCAGCATGGCCGACTGGAATGAAATGACAAAACAAATTGACTATGAAAAGGATATAGAGGACGTGTACCTGGAAGTGGCTTCCAAGGTCCTTTCTGAATGCCAAACATTAGACCTTTTGGGGGCTTGCACATGGCCTCGACAATCTGCCGCACTTCCGTCTTGGGTTCCTGATTGGAGCACTTCTAGGACACATAGATTACTCAGACAAGAACTCGAATCATCAACGAGTAAGAAGTTCTCCTTGTCGGCGTCCGCGGATTTCGCACAATACGAACCTCGGTTTTACGATGAGGAAGGAAAAGCAACTGAGACTTATGACTCTGAAATCATTCTCTATCTCGGCGTATCCGGATTCTTAATCGATACCATAGAGACTTTCGCGTCTGTAAATGATATCAGAGTAAGAAGTCTCTCCAATGAGGTGTTCCAGATACTACAGGGCGAGCATTGGGAGATCGCAACGACGAATGGAAACCTGGTATGCATTGTACCGGTCGAGGCGCAAGGGGGAGACAGGATCGGATTATTTCAAGGAGCGAAAACCCCGCTTCTCCTTCGGAGATCGACCGACGACATTGACGTGGCTAATGAAAAAGATCATGATGTCTCAGTCTGGAAGCTTATTGGCGAGTGCTACGTTGAGGAAACGATGGATGGAAGCATGTTTGATATCAACAAGTGTACCCCAATTTGGATATCTTGATACATAGTCCACCTGGATAAATGGGGACTCGATGGCAAAGAAAGAATCAAGGTAAAGATCAACATCTTCTTTATATAATTGGCAATGAAGACAATACCGTAGGCCGTACTTGCACCCCTAAGTAGCAAATTTTCCAGCAAATACAACGACCCAGGTGGAAAGACCCAAACCAAAGCCCGACTACACAACATATAGAGATTAGTCCTAAAACACCCTGCCCCCTCAATACAAAAAGCTATGCTCGAAAGCTTACTTCCATCACTCCACTAGTTTCGCTACTAGGAAGGGAGCAAAAAGTGGACCATCCGCGAACTTCAGCTCAGCGCGTGCTACCAAAAAGCATCTCCCGTCCCGGAATCGAACCAGGGACCTTTCGATAACAACAGATATTACAGTCGAACGTGATAAACCAACTACACCAACAGGAGGAACGCATGTCGGAAATGACATAACTAAAGAGCATATGTAAAGTCGATTCGTCTGTAGAGGAAAGAGTACATTGCCCCATATTATGTCGAAATTTGTAGGCTCCCCTGAATCGGCAAGGTAACAGAAAGCTAGCGAGAGCTCTCAGTAGCGCACTACTAAGATCCACTTAACACGGGTGCGCCAGTTGACCTGATGATGCTCGTACCCACTGAAGCAACGCAAGAGCTATCTGCTGCAGGGAAACACGTGGAAATGCATCGATATCCCTCTGCGAGGAAACTCTTTGCCAGTATTTGATCCACGCACGTTGACATCTCTACAGTTACAATACAGTCTACCGTGGTAGCTGTCCTCTGAGAGGAACATCTATTCCCCCAACTATTCAATCTATTGTATCGCGACCGTGGCGGTGTAGTGCATTTACATGTGTGCCGAGAAGACTCCACCAGCAATATTCCCTAAGTGGAGACTAGCGCGGAGTCAAACGAGCACCACCTCCCCCACGCATCTGTTGGAAGATAGGCAAAAAGTTGAGTAAAGCATTGATTGTTGGGGCTTCTGAAAGAAGCGGACTATAAGCTAACTAGCTAATTACATAAGGATAACAAACCATTCGTCCCTGCTAGATGCAGGGGAACACCTTCCACCAACAGTCCTCCCAAATAGTAGGGGGGAAAGGTCCTCTTTTATAGTGAATGTTCCATAAGATTGAATCCCTTGTCAACACGCTGTCATGTAGAGTCCCAAATCAGTTTCCGCAAATTCGATAGCGTTGGCAGCGGCAGTGCTTTCGTGCATATGTCTGCCAGGTTATCCTTAGAGGCAACATGCTGAATTTCGAATTGTCCCATCAGAAATCGTTCGCGGACGAAATGGTAATGGACTGCAATATGCTTTGAACGTGAGCTAACTTTGCGATCTTGAATGAGTGACATAGAAGGTTCATTGTCAATCATCAGACGAAATCGAAAACCGGCAGTAATGTCTGGGGCAACGACAGCAAGCAACTCCATAATAGCATGGCGATTCCAAATCAGGTGGCTAGCAGCATGAGAGGCTGCCATATATTCAGCTTCACAGGTGCTCTTTGCCACACAACTTTGTCTTTTGGACGACCATGCAATGGTGGACCCATTCATCTTCAGTAGATATCCAGAGAATGATTTCGCATTGTCTGGGTCAGATCCATAGGAGGCATCGCTGAACATAACCGCTTCGTGAATGTTGCGATTGGTATTCCCATTCAAAGTGATGTGACAATCCTTGGTATCCTGGATGTAACGCAGCACTTGAAAAGCCATTTTCAGGTGTAACTCCGAAGGATTAGAGTTGTATGAGCCCAACATGCTGACCGGATAACTAAGATCTGGTCGGGAGACAATGGAAAGGAAATTGATAGAGCCGATAATTGATTGGAAAAGTCGTTGTCGTTCAACATCAACCGGCGTACCTGGTGGCAGTCTGGTAGGGAAATTGTTTGGGTCTAATGGGGTTTTGCGTCCGTTACAATTGTCCATGCCATAACGTCTCAGGATCGCGCCCACGAAAGTGCGTTGGTGTAGGCGGATTTCGTTTCCAGCGTACTCAAATTCCAAGCCCAGTAACATCTTTGGCCTCCCCAGGTCTTTGAATTTGAACTTCGCCGCAGCATCTTTCATGAATGCTGAAATAGCATCTGGTAGACCAGCCATGATAAGATCGTCAACATACACTCCCAGAACGAGATGTTTGCTAATGAAGACACATGGATCGAAGTCTGCGCGCAAGAACCCAAGATGACAGAGCCATTTGGATAGTAATTCATGCCATTCGCGACCGGACTGCTTGAGTCCATAGAGCGATTTTCGAAGTAGCAGTGCTGTCCCAGAATGGGGAAGTCCTGCCGGGATCCTTGCGAAGATAGAATGTTTGAGGTGTCCGTTCAGGTATGCAGCGTCGAAATCCATTTGCCTGAGCGACCATTTCGGAATAAGTAATGTAAGGAAAACAAGTATCCTCAGACTATCATATCGCATAACTGGTGAATAGGTATCGTCGAAATCAACACCAGGACGTTGGGAAAAACCTTGGGCTACCAGTCTAGCTTTACGCTTTACAATTCGGCCTTGTTCATTTCGTTTCACATCAAATACCCATCTCATGCCCACGAGCTTTGTTCCTTGAGGCACATTGTCAACGAATTCCCAGGTACCGTTGTCATTATGTGCTTCCAATTCCCGATCAATAGGTGGCCGCCATAGTGGGGAGTTGGTATCATTTGTAGCTTCAGCAAATGTGCGCGGAATATCAGGGTCAATGATCTGCGCAGCAGTGTACGCGAATTCTGTGATGCCATAGTATTCCGTTGCATCACATTCCAGGGAATCAACTGCCGCTCGAGCACTATGATCAGAATGCTCTTTAGCCTTGCGTGATGGTCTCACAACTCGTCCTGATCTTGTGCGGGTTTGATCTGGTGACTGACTTGTCTGTGAACTTCCTTGATGGGATGTTTCCATTCGTTCTGGCGAACGTAAAGAATCACCCCTTCTCGTGCGGGAAGATATTGGTGAAAAGGCTCCAATGTGCAGGTACCCAGAATCTAGTGGCAGCTCTGTAGACTGGAATTCAGGTTCATCTCCAGGCCCAAAATCTGTGCGTTGAACTATGGTGCCTGTCCGACATCGTGGAGTCGATTGGTGGTCAGCCTGCAATTGGGATTCCCTAGCAGGATCAGGTTTCTGTTCAATTCGCTGCGGAGCAATAGGTGTAGCAGGAATTTGTTGTCTGAGCAGGCCAGCAGGTTGGATATTTCCCCCCATCTCGTCTGCAGCAGCAGAGAAGTAGGGTGGTGTTTTCCAAGCAGAGAAGCTCTGATAGCGAACGTCTCGGGTTTCTACAATGCAGCGTCGTGCTGGTATGTAGATTCTAGCAGTCTTGGTGTTGTGGCCGTATCCCACAAAAATACCTTCTTCTGCGCGGTGCAGAAGTTTACTGCCTGGTGCTCGGGCTTCTTTGGGAATGTGGGTGAACGCCTTAATGCCAAATGGATGCAAGTGTTGAATTGTAGGCTTCTTATCATAGAGGCATTCGTAAGGTGTCCGGTGCAGCTTGTCTGAAGCGTGTGGTATAATGTTAGCCAGAAAGCAAGCTGTTGCTATAGCCTCAGCCCAAAGGAATAGCATTCCGTCTTCTGGTATCATGGAACGCGCAGTCTGAGTGACGGTCTGATTGTACCGCTCTGGTATACCGTTCAATTCATGCGCGTAGGGAGGTGTAGTGTTGTGGATAATGCCTTTGCGACGAAAAAAGTCTTTGAGTGTAGAAGCTACATATTCGCCGCCATTGTCGGATTGAAATTTCCGAAATATAGCGGCAGCATCAATGTTCTTGAGCATCCCTTTGCCGAATTGTCTTTCCAAGTATTCCACAAAGTTCACAATTGTCTGTGGTGCATCGGCTTTCTTGTCCAGGAAGCGGACCCAGCTGAAGCGGGTACATTCATCAACAAACGAAATGTAGTATCGAGCTCCACCAAGGCTTTTCTCAGAAAACTTCCCTGACAAGTCCGAGTGTATGACCTCCAGCGGTTTCACTTTTCGCGGTCGATCGACAGCGTTGGAATTAGGCAGAGGGCGGCGGTGTTTTGACTTAGATAAGTAGCAAGGTTCGCACTCAAAATCTGTAGGCATTTTCGGTACGAGGTGTCCATCTTGGTAGACACGATCAGGATTCGCGACAAGACGGTGGCCTAGAGAATGATGGAATTCATCAAATGAGCTGAAACAGGTTTTGGTCGTACGTTTGGCAGCAACAGTTCCATCATTGGGGTTGTGAGGAACTGAGAAGCCTGTTGCAGATATTCCACCGGTCTTGTTTTTGTCCCAACTTGAATTATTGTCAGGCAGCGCCTTGTGGGCGCCGGAACGAGGGTGGCAGCTCTCGGTCTGAATCTGTATAATGCCGTCTACGTGACGCGCCCACAAGATATGTTTTCCGTTCCTTGACAGGAAAAGATCGTTCTTTATGGCGTGAAGTTCACAGCTGTTGCGAACATAAGACCAGGAAAATAAGCGCGTATCGTATAGTTCACTGGAATAGAGGGCGTTCGTCAGTTCTGCAATAGTTGTAGAGCCGTCAGGCAGACAGCAGCGGATACGAATTGTGCCAACTCCTTCAATAGGTAGCTTAATACCGCCAGCAATTGTAATTGTACCATTGCCAGGTGTCAGGGCAGAGAAATCGTCAATGCAACCAGACATATGCCGTGAAGCACCAGTATCGAACAGCCAAATTGGTGCGGAGTTTGTAGGGCGGCGAACAGAAACAGCGTGTGCACTTACGTCGTCAGACCGGATTCGTTTGCCATTTCCATTGATTCGAGGGGAAGGCGTCGATGGCGGAGTGGTCAAATCAACTATGCCGGCAGCGAAAGCATGTACCTCAGTTCCGCTATCAGTGTCATCGGCATCTGCAATGCCAAAGGAAGTAGATGCGTCAGCGTTATTTGCTTTCTGCCGTTTTCCACCACGAGTATTGGGCTGCTGTTGGGCAGCTTTGTCCTTTTGTTGCTCCTTATGTCTGCGAAGCTCATTGCAGTTTGTGTATACGTGCCCAACAAATCTGAGGTTATGCTTGCGGCACCAAGTACATTCTGAAGACGTCGGTGCTGTTGTCATTCGCGAATTCGGTGCGGCGGGGTTGCGCGAGGTAGTTCTGTGGGCAGCGTATGCGGTAGATGAGTCTGCGTTATCTAGGGAGTGCTTTTCGCTGATGTCAAGTATTTTCGGTTCAATGTCTCTGAAGGCAGTGAGGTTGCGGGTACTCAAATTGTCAATGATGTTGTCCATAGTATCAGGCAGAGTTGCTAGGAAAAACGATCCCTTAACCTCATCACTAGAGAACATGCTTCTCATAGCTACAGCGACAGATTGTGTTGAGGACTCGCACCGTTTGGTCATGCGTGTCCAAAGTTGGTGAAAATCGTCAAGGTGGTGTCGCAAATCTTCTCCGTCGCGAT